CCTTCAAGTGATGTTTTCGTAATCATTTTGTATCCCTTCCATGGAGTAACTACCAGGATCTGTGTTATGACTAAGCAGTATGACATTGTTTTTTAAATCGAGGAATAATATACAGACAACAAGGTACATAAAATGTGCCATAATTTTGTATGTATGCATATATCATGTAAACAACACACAGATCAAGATGGAGATATTTCCAGTGTACCATAAGGTTTTATTGTTCCCTTCCTAGCCTATAATCCTATCCTAGGAAAGCATTATTATAACTTCTGTTCTCATCAGTTATGCTTGTTCTTGAACTTCACATAAGTGGAATCAATCTCTAAGTACATTTTTTGCCTCTTTCTCTTCCTTCCTTCTTTTTTTACTCAATTGAACATCTATGGAATTTATCCATGGTGTTACAGGTACCAGTGATTCATTTTTTCAAATTACTGAGTTGTATTCATTGATGAATTCACTATGTTAATAATAAATGTTTGTATTGTATTGTCCATTATCCCGTTGAGGGGCATTTGACTTACTCCCGCTCCTTGACTATTATGAATGAAGGTGCTGTGAACATTCTTGTATGCAACTTTTGTGGCAATATGCACTAATTTCTCTCAAATCTATTCCCAGGAGTGAAACTGCTAGTGCAAAGGGCACATATGTGCTAAAGCATAAACCATTTAACATCTTTCTGAATTGGATACGACATTTTATGCTCCTGCCAACCATACATGGGAGTTTCACTTATTCCACCTCCTTGTCTGGTCTTACTCATCCCAATCTTTTTAAATGTTAGGTACTCCAGTGGGTGTGTAGAGGTGTCTCATTGTGGTTTGAACCTGCATTTCCCTGATCAATGATGATGTTGGGGCCGGGCATGATGGCTTATGCTTGTAATCCCAGCTCTTTGGGAGGCCAAGGCCGAAGGATTGCTTGAGACCAGTAGTTTGAAACCAGCCCAGACAACATAGTGAGACCTCATTTCTACAAAAAAGTAGAAATTTAACCTGGTGTGGTGGCACATGCTTGTAGTCCCAGGTATTCGGGAGACTGAGACAGGAGGATTGCTTGAGCCCAGGAATTCAAGGCTGTGGTGAGCCATAATTATGCCACTGCATTCCAGCCTGAATGACAGAGTGAGACCCTGTCTTGATAGATAGATAGATAGATAGATAGATAGATAGATAGATAGATAGATAGATAGAGATGTTGAACACCTTTTCATGAGCTTTTGTATATCTTCTTTAGTAAAGGGCCTACTCAACACTTTTTTACCATTTTAAAATTGGATTGTTTGTACTTTTCTTATGGGTCTGCAGGAACTCTTTACATTCTGGATATGAGTTTCTCTCAGTCGTAAAATAGAAAGGCATTTGATTGAGATTACTCATGTGTTGGCATCATGTCTAACCTTGCTTATTTTTTAAAAAGGGAAATAATCCAATGTTAGTCTGAAATAGTTATTCTGCCTGTGCAGAAAAAGAGGTTATTTTAACTTAAAAAATTATTTTAGTAATCAAAGTGTAGGAAATGTTTGGACAGGCAAAGTGATAGCCCAACAAGTATTTATCTTTGCATAAATAGTCTTCCTTTTGGGCAACTGGACCTTTATATAGAAGCCCTTTGTATTTTGAGATAAGCAACAGGATCTGCTGGGAATGGGATGATAATTCTATTTTGTGGCAGTCATGGCAGGATGACATCATGGGCCAAAGAATAGACCTTTCTAAAGTTCTCCCAAATATAGACCAGAAAGAGAGACTTCCCTGGTCTGGTCAGAATGGTTAACTCATTGCTAAAGGGGCAGTTGGCATTAACCCAAGCTGAGATATTTTTAAGTAAGGATTTTCCTAAGGGCCACATTGATGTGGATAACCTTATTTTGGCATGACAGACGGTTTTGCTTGTGATTTTTGTACAACTTGGCCACGCCTGCACACAACGCTGCTGCCTGAGATTCTTCTTGGCATTCATATTCAGATAAAATCTGGGTAGCCCAAGGGACAGAAGCAACTGAACATGCATGTCACCATTTATGGCTGCTGTGCCTGTGGAAGACAAGGCTGTTGGGTCATGACACTTTCCCAATGAGTACAGTCTCAGGCCTACTCAGTCTGAGTTGGCACTGAGACAGAATCTATTTGACATTCCTGAGTTGAACTGAACACAACAGATAAGCTTGGGAGAGAAAGTAAATCACAGAAAGTCAGGCTGAAATGCACAAGAAAGAAAGTTAAGATCCATACTATATTATCTTGGTAATTGCCCAGGATGGTGATGGATTGATTGTAAATGTATGTACATTTCATCTAAAATATATGTATTTGTGTGTGTGTGTATGTGTGTGTGTGTGTGTGTGTATACAAATTCCAGCAGAATACGTTCCCTTTTTCCCTCAAGCCTGCTTTCCTGAGCAACCTGGTCATGGAAATGTAAGTCACCTGCCTTCACACTGGTCAGAGCTCTGCTATTTATCAAGTCTTGTTTAGGTGTACAGAATAGTTTTTGAAGGCATCATTACATGTTATTGTTTTTATTCTTATAATAATCATTTATCTTCTTTATTTTGTCTTCTCTATCAATTAACACATAATATGATTTTAATTACAACCATTCAGTCTACAAATTATTTATTGGGCATTTGGCAATATCATGGTGACGTAGGTTTCTGCCTTCCTGGAACATATAGTTTGGTGATGATTAATAGGTGATAGAGTGTTTTTATAAGTTTATGTATAAAATGTGCATATACATATGTACGTATAAAGTATATACATTGTATAATTTATAACTGATATAATACATATAAGTATACACTTGCATTATGTATACTTACATATACATATTTTGTACATTATCTAAACCTAATTAATACTTATTATCTGTTGAAGGAGAATATTTTTTTTGAGTTGGAGTCTCACTCTGACACCCAGGCTGAAGTACAGTGGCATGCTCATAGCCACCGCAGCCTTTACCTGCTGGACTCAGGTGATCCTTCTGCCTCCGCCTTCCAAGTAGCTGGAACTATAGGTGTGTGCTACCATGCCTAGCTAATTTTTTGATTTACTGCAAGTTGCCCAGGCTGTTCTAAAACCCTTAGGCTCAGACAGTCCTCTTGCCTCTGCCTCCCTAAGTGCTGGGATTAAAGGTGTGAGCCACTGTGCCTGGCTTCAGAAGGATTGTTATCTCCCTGTTAAAAAAGATAATTCTATGGCTCAGAATTATTAAATCTTTTACCCAAGGACGTGTGCAACTAGTAAGTGGCCAACATTGGCTCAAGTGCGGGTTTGACGTTTGACACCACATCGTAGTATACCTTCCAGTGCCCTGAGAACTTCAAGCCATCTATGTATAACGTGTCACACACAATGATGGAGGACGTCTGCAAGCCCAGGGCAGGCCAGGTCGCTTATGACCCCTGAACCTCATTCCACTGGAAAAGAAATCAAAGACAGGTGACGTGTTTCCCTCGCAAACACCTTTGTGCAAAGCCTTCCGCTTTCCGCTTTCCCACTCATTTCTCTCGGTGGCAACTGGCCGAATACTCTTGACTTTCTTCCTCTTTAAAGTTATGACAGTAATACCAGTTCATTATCCTTTTCCAGGAATAGAGAGGTTGAAAGGGCAGCTGTTTATTGTTCTGGAAACTTGAAGCATTGAAGACATTCATCTGTGGTCATCTCTCAACATATTTAATAATGCAACCTCTCTAATAATGTAAAGCACATTCAAACCTATGAAAGCCTATCCAAATTACTTCACTTACTATGTGCTGGAAACCTCTAGGGTAGTCATTCTCATCCCCATCTTAGTGCTGAGAACTGAGCCTCAGAGAGAGCAAGTGGCCTGCCCAACTTTGAGCAGCAGGGAAGCATCAGAGCTGGAGCTAGATGGCCTTACTAAGATTCAGTCTCAGCAGCATGACCAGGGCTTACAAGTGAAGGCAGATTTGGGCAGAACCAGTTTTTATTCACACCCATCTTCAATGAGTCAGATCAGGTAGTTTGTAGGTCATATTTTGAAAGGCACTAGGAAAAGAGCTTTCTACATTTTGACTTTAGAATATTTGACTCTTTCTTCAATTCTGGCAAACCCTCTAAAGAATTAACACTCTCTAAAACAAACAAAAAAACCCTTCCAACCAATTACCAATAATTATCATTTTTTTCTATTTTTCCCCTCAACACAGGCAGTTAAAAGTTTAAAAATAAGTGAAGACCACAACACACAAAAGAACTAGAATCGTGGGTAAGACATAATTACAGAAGAAAAACCTGCTGACAATTCTTACACACAGCAGGGGTGAGATTATTAATATAAGGCGGTGCCTTTGTGGTTCTTGGTGGTGTGAACCAGGCATGAAAAAGGAGGCTCAAAGGAAATTATAGCAGAAAAGGGCCTGGGTGGGGACAAAGTAAACAAAAAGGATTGGTAGTTTTTTCTCAGTGAAATGTGAAGCTGCTAGCATTTGAAAATTTTGCATTAATTTAATGAACATCTACTGTGTGCTCAGTACCATGAGCCAATGGAAGCACCTGATAATGTCATTGCCATTGGAGAAGGAAAGGTAACCACACTGAAGACAATTAAATAACTTTATATGACAATGTATGATAAAGTTCCAGAAAGTGTGGCACAATCAGTGAAAAGAGCAGAAGGTGACCCTGAGATCAGGGTGGGTCGGTGCAGTTTAGAAAGCCTGCTCAATGAGGTGGCCAAGATGAATCTTGAGGGATGATGGGAGATTAGTTAGGGGTGAAAGAGGAGAGAGTGGAGTTGGAAAGGACATTCCAGAGAGTGGGGTCAGCTTGAGCAAAGGAAGAGGGGTAGATATTGGAAAGGCACCCCAAGAAGTCATCGATTTGAGAGGATTTATGTTAGAGAAACAAAGATGACATCACAAAACATTTTTTAATGCTAACTTTAATAGAACTCTCTCCAGTTAGGAAGAAAATATAGTTTGCAAAAAGCCCTGCCCATCTCAGCACTTTTTATTGTCATGACAGGGGAGCGTGTTCAACACCTGGAAACCCATGTGGGTTGTACTGTTAGAAGATGGCATTGAATTCTATAAGAAGAAAAGTGACAACAGCCCCAAAGGAATGATCCCCCTGAAAGGAAGCACTCTGACTAGCCCTTGTCAGGACTTTGGCAAAAGGATGGTGAGTTGACATGACTCGTTGCAATGAACCCCTGGTCAGGCACTGACCTTTTGGTCCATGCATAGTTTACAGTGCAGGTTGGTACTCCTTGGGCCAGTCCCTCCCACTACCACCTATACCCCACTCCAGTATTTGGCTCTCTCTTGGCCAGGACAGGTTTGGGTCAACTGCTTTGCTTTGTGAGGGGCCTCAGCCCCTTGAAAGGAGTCATTCCTAATGAGATGTGTTTTGAATTCCAGTTTGTGTTTAAGATCACAACGACCAAACAGCAGGACCACTTCTTCCAGGCAGCCTTCCTGGAGGAGAGAGATGGCTGGGTTCGGGACATCAAGAAGGCCATTAAATGCATCGAAGGAGGCCAGAAGTTTGCGAGGAAATCCACTAGGAGATCCATTCGCCTGCCAGAGACTATTGACTTAGGGTGATTTTCTGTGTTTGTTTCTCTCTTACCCTCCCCCCCTTTTTCCTTCCCTCTGACAGAGAAAATCACAAGATTCTTCAAGTCTTGGTTCGGATACCTCTGATGTCTGCATCTACTCTGTCAGGTTGATACTAGCACATGGTGTATGTACTAAAATGTTTACCTGGGTCTGAAGGAATGACCCAAGCCTACTAGCTGAGAAGAAGAGGCTAATAGCTTATAAATTTTCTCATATTGGGTAAGAGAAAGAGGGAGAGGGAGAGGGAGAAAGAAAGAGAGGGAGAGAGACAGAGAAACTCATCATTTATGAAGAAAACATTGTAAGTTAGTCTTGAAAGATAGTTTCAAGATCTCTAGGTAGAAAGGAAAAGGCAGGGAGCTATATGTCTAAGCAGACAAACTTTCAAGTTCAAGTTTATGCATTCACACAGTCAGGAAGGGTCAGCCAGGGTAGAAACCATTTGTGCCCTGACCTAATTTAATGGCCTCTGACATTGGCTGGTTTGGAAGTACAGGTGATAGTTATAGCCTGAGGTGGTCAGAGTCCACCAAGTAAATCCAGCCCTTGACAGAAGTAGGAAGCAAGCTTCCTTCCTTAATACATATTTCACATTTCCGGTCACATGGGCCCCTTTCTCTAGAAATCTCTTTCTTCCTGATAATTTTCCTTTTATGTTGAGTATTCCCTGAAATAGTAGCCCTGCTAAAAAGAACACCATGTTGGCTACTTAAAATGTCCAACGAGAATTCTGTTTTCATGGGGAGTGGGGTTGGGAGAGACTCTGAGAGGAAACTAAAGACATCCCTTCTGTGTGACTAACATAAGAGTTGGCATGGCACAGGAATTTGATAGAGTCTGTGCCCTGATCTTAGTAAGACTTAACAGCTCCCCTCACCACGAGAGCTTTTTTTTGTAAAGACCCACGAGGGTGTAGCTGCAGCTGCTGACAGGGGCCAAGAAGTGACCATATTCCTGCAGCACTGTCACAGAGAGTCATGAAAGTGGCCTTCTGTTTTGTTGCTTAGAATTTCTCTGATAAGGCTATCTTTGGTTTATTACTTCAAAGTTAAAATGAGAACTTCTCACTCCTTTGCCTTACACCTTATCACTTTAATAATAAGAGATAAGCTTTGTGGAAACATTCACTTCCTAGAGGAAAATGTCTACAACAGATGGTTTCTTGAAGACCCTTAAATAACTGGGACATTGAGGGGCTGTAAAGATATAGAATTTGTGGAAAATTGACCCTGAAAAACTTTGATCTTGATACCTAAATTGGGGCAACTCTCCATCTCAGGCAGCATTAATCAATTCAATAAAGAGCTTAATGAACTTAAGAATTGTTAAGTATCTTTCTAGAACATTTTGCTAAATTTTGTACGGACCCCAGAGTTACGCAGATATGAATGCTGCCCTTTAACTACCCAGGATCTGGCAGAGATTAGGCTCAAAAGTTACCTGTTGGGACAGCAGGGTGGGGAGGTGGGGAATGGAGGGTAGTTGTACTCATGGGCAACCTTTCCAACATGACAACTCTGAGAGAACTCTCCATTCATTTTTTTTTCTCATTTCTGTGCAGTGCCTTGTATATGTCTATGAAAGACATTGAAAAAGGAATAAAAGAACTGAACCTAGAGAAGGACAAGAAAATTTTTAATCACTGCTTCACAGGTAAAAGGACTTGCAGACCCCAAAATAGGGCAACTAGGAAAGGTGTTATGAAAGTCTCCTTCAGCCTCATGTCTGTGGCGGGGGGTGTGGTGCATGGGGGTTGGATGAAGTCCCAGAATGCAACCTGGTGAGAGTGAGAAAACAGAAAGAACTGTGTTTTTCAAGATTATGTTTTGGGAGCTTCAGCTAAATCAAGGGATTTTTTTCCCCCCAATAAATGGCATTTTCTTGAGAATTGCTAGAGACACAAAGTTGAACAAGATGCATCCCTTGCTATGTAGGGGTCAAGACATATACTGTAAGAGTTAAATGACAATATTAGGGGTGTCAGAGGCTGCACAGGGTCAGGCATTAAGGGTTATAAGTTTAGATGGTATTGTGCAGTTGTTAAAAACATGTTCTTTGGAGCCTGACGACCTTGGTTCAAATCCTGATTCTGCCATTTACTAGCTATAAAACCTTGGGCTAATATCTTAGCTTCTCTGTGCTTTACTTTTCCTGTCTATAAAATGGGATAAATAGTGTACCTGTTTCACGGACTTGTCACTATGCATGTAGAGCAGTGCTGGGCCCACACTAAGTGCTATATGGTGCAGGCTTTCAAGTGGTTATTGTGATTTTAGATGTCACCTATTGGCACAATCAACTCCATTAGTTCAGAAAACAGAAAGAGCTCAGGGGGCTGTTGGAGTGAATGGGAGGTGGTATCTAAATTTGACCCTGAATGGTATAATTTCATTACATATTTTGGGGGAAGATTTCTGAGGGGGAGGCTGGACAGAGAATGGTGAAGACAATGTTATGGGGCAGAGATGTGCAGAATATGCATCTAGGAGAAAAAATTGACCAGCCTGATGGAGCTGATGGTTCATTAGGGCTACAGTGAAAAGTACAGTTTGGGATTAGTTTTGTCAGATGCTAGACCTGGCTTACTTATGGTGGCAAGAGAGGTCAAAGGAAGAAAATCTCTGGGATGCTACAACAGATGTAGAATCTGAGAGCATTGTTGGAGTGACTAGGAGGTGAGAGGATGTGCTTCCAACAGAAAATTCATGAAAACAGTCCCAGTCGGGGTCAGGAAGGCTAAGGGGAAAAGGGGGTGATCTGTGATGGTAGGGTAGCATCCCATGGGAATGAGTCTCAGAGGGTGAAGGCAGCAGCCCAGGTGAATCAGGCAAGTCAGGGTCAAGATTTGGGATCAAGACACCAAGCTGTAGGTGGTGGTAAGGGAAACTGACAAGAGCAAGGAAGGACCCTGAACTGAGGTCACTGTGAAAGAGTCTCAAGCAAAGGGAACAGGAGGGGGTTCCAGTGCCAACTCCAGGCGCAAGATCCTGGCCAGACTTATTTCTTGTGTAATGTGTAACGAGTCTCAGAGTCTTGGTTGACCACTTCTTAAGTGCTTCCAGTTGAAAGTCAGAGTGGGTTCTAGAAATTTCTGTGGGCAGAGCCTTCTGGTGGGAGTCAGTTGGCCTCATCTGGGAGAAGAAGGGCAGCAGAGACTGGGACCAGGCAGTCTGTAATGAAAATGATAAAGGATCGTCAATGTCAGGTGACAGGGAAACTAGACTGAACTTGTCTTTCAGACTTCAGCATCCCTTGCTGAACAGGCGTAGACCCACGTTTTAGAACATATAAAAGTGGTGGCCCAAAGTAGGTGTAAAGTAGGCCTAAGGTCACTTAAATGCTCTGAGCCTTAATTTTCTCATCCTTAAAACAAGGACTATAATTCTTGCCATACCTCTTTTACAGGGGTGCTATGAGGAGTAAAAGCAAAAATGCAGTGTCAATTAGTTTGCCCTTGTAAAGAAAGAAAAGTGGGCAGAAGCCTTTCAAATATGAAAGTCATGGAAGGCTTGCTATCCAACTGCTCTTGAGCACTTCTATTTTGAGGGTGACATTCCTACTGCTCTTGCTTGGATGACCCGAAACTGGCAGACTGTTATGTTGGCTCCTTTGTTGGCTACATTTGTAAAGAACATACTGTCCTTTATTTTATTAAAATATATATATATATTTTTGAGTTGGAGTCTCACTCTGTCACCCAGACTGGAGTGCAGTGGCATGCTCCTGGCCACCTCAGCCTTGACCTGCTGGGCTCTGGCGATCCTTTCGCCTCAGCCTTCCAAGTAGCTGGAACTACAGGCGCACGCTACCACGCCGGGCTAATTTTTTATTTATTGTAGAGATGAGGTCTCGCCAAGTTGCCCAGGTGGGTCTCGAACCCGCGGGCTCAGGCAATCCACTCACCTCGGCCTCCCAAAGCGCAGGATTACAGGCTGAGTCACCGAGCCTGGCTTATTAAAATATTTTTTATTGACACGATAATAGTTATACATAATTGTGGAGTACAACTGATGTTCTAATACATGTATACATTATGTAGTGATTAAATCATGGTAATTAGCATATCCGTACCTTAATCATTTGCTGTTTTTTTTGTTGTTGTTGTGGGAGAGAACATGCAAGTTTTTTTTTTTTAATTTTAAAAGATATGGGGCACAATTCAGGATTAGGTATACAAGTGATCATCATACAAGTAAAGTTTGGGCTTCCCTTTGGTCCCCACTTTGCCTGGTTTGAGATCAGCTACCCTTATTGATGTTGTGTCCCCTCCCCCATCTTCCACCCTGGCAGTATCCCGCTACTGCCAATCCCTTTCTTACAGTATTATGGTAAATGTTCAGGGTCCACTTATGAGTGAGAACATGTGGTACTCTAGAACATGCTATTTTTAATACAAGTGTCATTGTAGCCTGCTAATAATCCAAGTGATGGGTCCATTTCATTTTATTCTCTTTGTAATCCTTTCTTGAAGCAGAATTGATCAAATACCTTCTCTAGGTTCCTGCTAAACCCTGAAAAGGCACGACAATCAGCGCAGGACATGTCATCAAATATTAATTTAGGACACACATTCATCATTTTTTTTTTTTTTGAGTTGGAGTCTCACTCTGTCGCCCAGACTGGAGTGCAGTGGCCGCTCCTGGTCACCGCAGCCTCGACCTGCGCTACCACGCCCGGCTGATTTTTTGATTTATTGTAGAAATGAGGTCTGCTGCCCAGGCAGTTCTCGAACCCACGGGCTCAGGCAATCTACTCACCTCAGCCTCCCAAAGGCGCAGGATTACAGGCTGGGCCACCGAGCCCGGCTTCATCATGTTATTTCCTGTTAAAAACTTGCAATGACTTCTCATTGCCAAAATTCATAAGGTGCCATCAATGCTCTCTCCACCCCCTCTTTGCCTTCCTCCTCCTCTGTTTCCTTTTGCCTTATTTCCCCTAACTCCTCCCCCTGCCCCATGGGGCTGCTTCTTGCCTGCATGCATCTGTTCACACTGCTGCCCCCTCAGCCTGGGCTAGTTCCTCTCAGGCCCTGTCTCATATGCTTGGCAAACACCTACTCATTTTTTAAGCCTCTGCCTAGTGTCACTTCCTCTATGAATCTTTTCTGGCAGTGCTTGCACAGCCCCTTCCCCTCAACCTCTCCCCCCATCACACCTTCAGATTGGACTCAGTAGTTCCACAGTATTGACTTATAGCAGGGCATTTATTACAAGACTTCCTTATCACCCATTGTGTCCTTTTAGATTCGCTGAGGGTATCTCCCAATACCCATCAGAGTACTTAGCATGTAGTAGGTGCTCAATATATGTTTGTTAATGGAATGAATGAGTGGGTTAGTGAAAACAATTATTTAAATACATGGGTTACTTTTTTAAAGAGACCTTATTTTAAAATGTTTATTAGTGTTTTTTTTTTTAGATGGGGGTCTGGCTACATTGTCCAGGTTGGTCTCAAATTCCAAGCAGTCCTCCTGCCTCAGCCTCCTGAGTAGCAGGGACCACAGGTGTGAGCCACCATGCCTGACCATGTGTTGTTTCTTAAGCAACATGAAGATTTTTTTTTTTTAAGTTGAAGTTTCACTCTGTTGCCCAGGCTGGAGTGCAGTGGCACACTCATGGCCACCTCAGCATCGACCTGTTGGGCTTAGGCGATCCCTCCACCTCAGTCTTCCAAGTAGCCGGAACTACAGGCGCATGCTACCACGTCTGGCTAGTTTTTGATTTATTGTAGAGATGAGGTCTCGTCAAGTTGCCTGGGTGGGTCTCGAACCCGTGGGTTCAGGCAATCCACTCACCTCAGCCTCCCAAAGTGCTGGGAGTACAGGCTAGACCATCAAACCCAGCCTAGATGTTTTAAAAAGTCCTTTACTTGGCTCCTTTTTTCTCTAGATATCTATCCCACTGATTTGTTTTTTATTCTTGAAATGACAGAAATGATGAGACAAGTCAGACACTTGGGTGCTCCAGAGCAAGTTTAGGGGTGACTGTCGGTGGCCTTTTCTTTGGTGAGGAGAGTTAACTTTCCCTCCAATGGGTCCCATCCAGGTAACTGTGTCATCGACTGGCTGGTATCCAACAAGTCTGTTCGGAATCGCCAGGAAGGCCTCATGATTGCCTCTTCACTGCTCAATGAAGGGTATCTGCAGCCTGCTGGAGACTTGTCCAAGAATGCAGTGGATGGAACTGCTGAAAATCCTTTCCTGGACAACCCCGATGCCTTCTACTACTTTGTAAGTGAGAAAAGCTACCCATCTATTCTTCCTGTAATGAGGGCTACCCTGAGTTGATTTTTGGTTGATTTCAATTCATAGACACATATGCAAAAGAAAGGGCCCAGACCTACAGAGCACTGTTAGGCCGGAGGTGGGGGACTCCCAGGAAGAACAAGGAAATACCTGAAGCTTCCAAGTCCATTTGGAGCTTATATCACATCAGCGTATCCCAGACTTGTCATCTGCCCCCTCTACAACACTTGCCCTGGCCAAGTGAATTCCTTAAAAGGAAATATTGTTTACTCAAATAATATTTTTTAATTACTTTCTAAACTTTATTGTGTTATATCTATTCTCATTCTAAGCAACAATTCATTTATTAAAACTTATTAGGCCCTAGTCCCTGGCAGCCACCATCTTAGACAAAGAGCTACAACAGAGGGGGAGGGGGGTGGGGCAAAAATTCAGCTCTCATGGAGTTTCCTTTCTAGAAGGGATCCGTGAAACTACAGGTGTGATGTGCTAGGTGTGTTTTTCTAAATGTCCATTAAAATACATGACTCAGGCCAGGCATAGCGGCTCAAGCCTGTAAACCCAGCACTTTGGGAGGCCAAGGCGAGAGGATTTCCTGAGCCTGAGGGTTCAAGACCAGCCTGGGCAACATGGTGAGACCTCGGCTGTACAATTAAAAAAAAAAATTAGCCGGGCTTGGTAGTGCATGCCTGTAGTTCTGGCTACTTGGAAGGCTGAGGCAGAAGGATCACCAGAACCCAGCAGGTCCATGCTGGGGTGGCCGTGAGCGTGCCACTGCACTCCAGCTTGGGCGATGGAGTGAGACTCCAACTCAAAAAAAAAAAAATGACTCAATACAAAATGAGTTTATCTACACGTCACCTCCTGCAGTCGTCTTGGGTACTTCCCATAGTATGCTTACTCAGGATTGGGAAACACTAGATGAACCAATTTTGGACCACGTGAGATATCCAACAACAGTGGATTTCTAGGGGGATTTTGGCAGTTTTGTTTCTATTTTGGAACCAAGTACAGAAGTTAGAAAGCTACTTAAGAGAACCAGCCTTCTTACAAAAGTGAAGCGAATGTCCCAGAGAGAGTTTCATTTCACTCTGGGGGAAGTTCCATTGTCAGTTTCATGTTTTTAAAAGGTAGATTTATTAAAGGAAAGCTGCATTGTGAAGGACACAAAGGGCAGGATAGCAGTGAAAGTGTCTGCTGTCAGCCTCAGTTTCATTTTTTAAGACCTTTGATCTGGTTGTTTATAGTCATTTAAATGCAGGATTCTAAAAATATCCATCAGAGTGGCTCTTCTTCCTCTATGATTCATTACTCACTTTTGCTGAGCAAGTCCCAATCCCCTCCTGACCTCAGAGGATGAGGTTGGACACATGCTCTCAGTTTTCACCAAGAAGGGGCTTAGTGGCAAAGGTTAAGATGAAGGTAGTATTGCTAATTATAAATTAGCCCACCTTGCTTTCAAGAATGTGACCATGATGTCCCGGGAGAAGGAAGGATTTGAAGGCAGAAATGTGCATGGTGAGGAAATGGAGCTAAACTTAGGATATAGCTTAGAGGATCTCATAGAAAAAAGGGATACTGACAAGATCACACTTGAGTGAAGGCAAGAAAGGAACAGTAGAAGCAAGTGAAAGGAGGAGGAGAAACCAGTGAACCAAGCACAGTCTTTGAAGTTCGGATTAGGGTATGTACAATAGCGGAAGGAAATGGAGGAGCCTACCCTAGCAGCTGGTGTTGAGGGGAGAATGGAGATGGTAACTGCGGCAATATGCCTGAGACTGGTAAAGTCAACTTGCTGTTTGATTTCCCAATAGCCAGACAGTGGGTTCTTCTGTGAAGAGAATTCCAGTGATGATGATGTGATTCTGAAAGAAGAATTCAGAGGGGTTATTATCAAGCAGGGATGTTTACTGAAGCAGGTGAGTGGCCACCACTGTTTCCTTCTAGCCTTTGCCCCTTACCAGGTCCTTTCTATTTTTAAGTTATCAAATAAAATTTAGTTTGTTTGACTAATAGTCACGCAGAAAATAAAATCCACAGAATGTCAGATAGATGAATAACTAAGTAGATTATCAAAGCAATATTAGGTCAGGAAGACAGAGACAGGCAGGGCGGAAGGTGCCCCGGGAAGTAGGAAAATACTTCTTTTATCAATATTATAGGGGAAAAAAAGGCATTTCAAGAAAATTATTGCCCCTTTTATTGGCTAGAGGAGATAAATTATCTAAGTGATGCCATTCAAAAGACAGAGATATTTCACAGTAAAATAATTTTTATTTTGCCTGTCCCTCCTCTCTTCAAAGTAACCAGGAAAGCAGAAACAGGCCACACCCACAGGGGAATGTCATATACCATTGAGAACAAGGACATGCCATTCCAGACTATGAGTAGGGCCTGATGAGACCAAAACCATGGCATGCCTGTGGCCAGCTCCACAGGAACCACAGACAGAGGTCAAATCCAGACTGAGGCATGGACACAGTCCTGGGGGGATGCTCAGGTATCCACAGGTACAGGCCACCATCAGTCTGGGAGGTGAGGGCTGGTGTGAGTGAAAGAGCTCTAGGTGGTACCAGATATCAAGGTGCACGATGATGTCATGAGGTAAGAGAATGCAAGAGCTAGGAATGAGTGAGGAACCCAGGGCCAGCCCCTAGCAGGGAAAGAAATAGCAAGAAGACATGAGAAGATTCTGGGTGAAGCAAACAGATACCAGCACATAGTGTCAGGGAGACCGAGGCTGCTTTACAGGGCCAAGGTCTTGCCTTCCTCGCTGTGCTGTGAGCTGCCTGAAAAGCACTGCTCAGTATATAATGGGCAGAACTGATTGCAGTAAGAAGATGTCCATGCCCTGTCTATAGGCCCTAGGGGACTGAGAGAGATGACTTACTTCATACTAGAACCATTCACTTACATCTCAGTGAATAGTGGTATGGGATAGGAGGGAAGAACCAGAGCACAGCATAGGTCTGTACTTACAAAGAGGAACTTTGGGCTAGTTGAGAGAAGGTATAGATATGGATTTTGAGTTTCCCTGGGGGAAGTGGAGATTAGAATGGAAAAACTACCGTCACATCAGTTTTAAGAGAACAGTGTTCTGAGAAACATACAGCCAGGATTTAGAAAGAATATGTGGACTATTCTAATATCTTTTTATGACGGAGTGACCAGCTTGATAGGTTAAAGGAAAGACAGAGGGGCAGGAGCAAGGCCAACCTTATAGAGGGAAGACTCCGGCAGTGGTCCCTGGGCAGAGTTTACCCGTTGCTGGCTTCCTCATTGGTTCTCCCAACTATTCCTGTATTCCAGGCTCTTTGATTGCAGATATGGGAAGGTGACTGTTAAGACAGGGAAATCTTGGGAGAGAATTTCATTATTCCCTTATTTTCTTCTATAATTCTATGTTCTTATCAGCTCCAAAATTCTCTATTTTAATCAGTTCCATAATTTTATATTGTTATCAGTTCCATCATTCTATATTGTTATCAGCTATTTCTTGAATTAGTTGATCAGACAAGTCCTAATCTAGAGTGGGGCTCTTAGAAAGCCAAGGATGAAGGTTAATAATGAGTAGATAAAATTTGAACTGGACTGGACTGGACCCATGTCTGAACAAAGCACCCTAGTGGAGACCCTGGATGGTAAAAAATTGGCTGTGGGCAATGGATGTCAGGGTATGTTTTCAAGATAATGGGAACAGGAAGTAAACTTACTTAAGTGTTTCCCTTTCCTTCCTTTACCTAATCTTTGATAGGTCCAATTTAGCCTTAGCTAGGCCAGTATGGAAAGCTTATTATCATGACAAAGGACACCTGTGCTCCACACCTCGCAGATGGGAAGTAGCTGTGGCCAACTGGAGGACATTTCCCCCCACCATTCTTCCCACTTTTCTCATTCCAGGGGAAGTAATCCTACTTGGCAAATTTGAGGATAAATGATTTCGGATTATATTCCATATAATCCCTTTTTATGTAATTTCTTCTGTTATGACAATGAATAAAATATTCATTTGCTTAATATTAAATCTCCCAGGGAACAGATAAAACTTCACTCAGGTCAGTTAAATCAGAGTCTCCGTATTTTTACAGCTCCCAAGTGATCTTGATATGCAGCCAAGACTGAGAACCCTGAGCTAACTTTTTTCTTAAAAGCTAACTTATCCTATTATCAAAATCCTACAACTTCAGTAGTCATCCTTAGAAGATTCTTTTTTATGTGAATAAAACAGAAATCTATGAATTTAGAAATTTTGTTCTTTTATAATATTCTTTTATCTAATTTTTTTTAAAGCAGGGTGTAGGAAGCAAAGAATGTTATTTGGGTTTTTTTTCTTTTGTTATTTATTTATTTATTTTTTTTATAATCAATATTTTATTATGATGTTGTGGGGTACAGTTAAGGGTTAGGTATACAAATACGTCTCATTCAGGCACCCTATTGATAAGAGGTGCATCCCCATCCCCAGACAGATATTTGCTACCGTTAATCCCATCTCCCTCCCCCCGCTATAGTTTCCCACTACTGTCAGTCATTTTCTTATAGTATTAGGTTGGATGTTCAAGGTCCATTATATGAGTGAGAACATGCGATACTCGGACCTTTGTTTTTGTGAGAGGTCACTCGGTATTATAGACTCTAGTTCCATCCAGGTTGCTGTGAAATTCTTGATTTTGTTCTTTTTTATGGCTGCGTAGTATTCCATCGTGTATATGTACCACATTTTTTAAATCCAGTCCTCTTTTGATGGGCAGCATGGTTGCTTCCAGGTTCTTGCTATTGTGAACAATGCTGCAATAAACATACGTGTGCAGGTATCTTTTTTATAGAGTGATTTGAGTTCTTCCGGATATATTCCCAGTAGGGGGATTGCGGGGTCATATGGGAGGTTGATATTTAAAGCTTTTAGGAATCACCACACTGCTTTCCACAGAGGTTGCACTAGTTTACACTCCCATCAACAGTGTAGAAGTGTTCCCTTTTCACCACACCCTCTCCAGCAGCTGTCATTTTTTGAGTTGTTGATAATTGCCATTCTGGCTGAAGTTAGGTGGTATCTCATTGTGGTTTTGATTTGCATCTCCCTGATGATTAGTGAGGTTGAACATTTCTTCATATATCTGTTGGCTGCTCAGATGTCTTCCTTTGTGAAGTGTCTGTTCATATCTTTTGTCCATTTTATAATGGGGTGGTTTGTTTTTTTCTTTTCAGCATGTTTGAGTTCCCTGTAGATCAAAGATGTTAAGCCTTTGTCTGACCTGATATTGGCAAATACTTTTTCCCAGTCTGTAGCTGTCTCCCTGCTCTCTTGATGGTTTCTTTGGCTTTGTAGAAGCTTGTCAGTTTAATAAGGTCCCACTTGTCTATCCTGTCTCTTATGACCTGTGGGTTTTGGGTCTTGTTCAGGAATTGGAGGCCAGTTCCGATTTCCATGAGGGTATATCCTTCATTTTCTGAGGTTCTTATGGTTTGGGGTTTTATTTAGGTCTCTGATCCATTTGGAGTTAACCTTTGTGCACGGGGATAGATAGGGGTCCTGTTTCAATCTTCTGCATGTGGTCAGCCAGTTTTCCCAGCACCATTTACTGAATAGGTTCTCCTCTCCCCAGTGGTAGGTGGTGGAGGCTTTGTCGAAGATGAGTTGGTTGAGAAATTGAGGTTTTGCTTCTGGAATCTCAATTCTATTCCATTGATCTATATGCCTATTCCTATACCAATACCAAGCTGCTTTGATGATTGTAGCTTTATAGTAAAGTTTGAAGTCTGGTAATGTGATACCACCTGCTTTGGTTTTTTTTGCTGAGAATTGTTCTGGCTATTCTTGAACATTTGTGTTTCCATATCAATTCCTGTGTTGTTTTTTCTAGGTCTGAGAAAAATGTTGCTGGTAATTTGATGGGTATTGCATTGAATTTGTAGATTGCCTTAGGTAAGATGGACATCTTCACAATGTTGATTCTTCCGATCCATGAGCATGGGATATTTTTCCACTTGTTTGTGTCATCTTTGATTTCTTTGAGCAGTGTTTTGTAGTTTTCATTGTAAAGGGCTTTCACATCTCTGGTTAGAAAGATGCCAAGGTATTTCATTTTTTTGTGGCTATTGTGAGTGGAATTGTGTTTTTTTATTTGGGTTTCTGTTTGTTTATTATTGGTGTAAAGAAATGCCATTGTCTTTTGTACATTTATTTTGTCTCCTGAGACTTTGTCAAAGGCCTTTATCAGTGTAAGGAGGTTTTTGACAGATTCTCTTGGGTTTTCAAGGTACACAATCATATCGTCTGCAAAGAGAGATAATTTGACTTCCTCTTTTCCTATTTGGATACCCCTGATTGCCTTCTCTTCTCTGATTGCTCGAGCCAGGACTTCCAATACTATGTTGAACAGGAGGGGTGAGAGTGGGCATCCTTGTCTTGTTCCAGTTTTTAGGGAAATGGTTCCAATTTTTGTCTGTTTAGGAGTATGCTGGCTATGGGTTTCTCGTAGATGGCTTTTACTATTTTGAGGTATGTTCCTCTTATGCCTAGATGTTCAAGAGTTTTTATCAAGAAGGGGTGCTGGATTTTATCAAAAACTTTTTCTACATCTAATGATATAATCATGTGGTTTTTGTTTTGACATCTGTTGATGTATTTAATTACATTTATGGTTTTACGAATGTTGAGCCAGACTTGCATCCCAGGAATGAAGCCTACTTGGTCATGGTGGATGATTTTTGAGATGTGTTGTTGAATCTGGTTCGCTAGGATCTTGTTGAGAATTTTAACATCTATGTTCATCAAAGATATTGGCCTGTAGTTCTCCTTCTTTGTTGGATCTTTACCTGGCTTGGGTATCAATGTGATGTTGGCTTCGTAAAATGATTTGGGGAGAGTTCCATCTTTTTCAATCACCTGGAATACCTTTAGTAGGATTGGTATCAC